TATAAATTATATATTTATAATAGCATTAAAAATATGTATATTATTTAAAAACAATAAAGTCATACTTCAAATGTGACATGATCGGTTTGTCATTGTAATTAGGATTTAGAAATGAACCTTTATTAGAGAAGTGAAGTAATTGCTGATTAATAAATTCCATAATATTCGTTCACACAGTGGATTATGTTAAACAACGCCTTAACAAATATTGTTTTCGCAACTTCATTCATCTTATAATTGAGTTTGAAAAACTTCATGTAATTAAAATTAACGTACATTCATTGACTGATGGTATTTTTTTTACTTTTTCGCTGGCGATTTAATCTCATTCTTTGCAATAGATGTAATATCTGTCTTGCCTAAAAAATATTTTCGATTTTAATAACTTCAAAGATTTATAAAATCTACGAATAATATAGAAATAATTTCTAATCAATAAACTTACGTTTAGTACATGGCACAAATGTTTAATTTGTATTATTACTTTCAAGAAACAGGGTAAAATATTCTTCTGATTCAGGCATTTTTTATTAAATCAAGATTTGTACGATGTAACTTTAAAATGTTTATTTATCTCTGTCGACTTGCTTGTTGATATCGGTACGCATACAACGTTGATTCCGCTACGCAAACAACATCAGATCTCTATTCACATACACGACGACTAATCACAATCGACGCGTATTGAAATGATTTTATCGAGAGCGAATGACGAATCATTGGCACTCGACTCTTATCTTATCTTATCTGCCGTAACGCACTTCCGTTGCATTTGTACGGATTTACACCCTAGTCGCGCCTAAAGAAGTTTTAATTCAATAATTATTATTACCTGACTAGCCAGCAATGCTTCTTCTTCCTCCCGAAGTTTCTCAAACAATTGTGTCCAATCTTCCATCGCCTTTTCTCTTTGTCTCCTAACTTTGTCCAATTGTTGCTGTTCTTTCAGTTCTTTTTCATGCTGTTGATTTTTCTCTTGTTCACGTTTTTTGATGTTACCCAATTCTATTTCTATTCGTGTCAACATGAAATGTTTTGGTGGCCCAATTCTATCGCAAGCGATATCGAAAACAGCCTCAATAGTATCATATTCTTCGACTGATATCAATTTTGGATGACGCTCACATTCGTCGAAAAAGTTCAGGGAAGTGTTTGTATCAGTATTTCTGGCTCTAAATTCCGATAAGCGACGCAACATTTCATCCTAGAAGAATAAAGTCAAGTAAAAAATATTGCGAGTGAAAATTAGGTAAAAATTTCTTTACCTCTGTATAATGTGTTCCTTCCACTTCGCATTGTGGCAGCTCCATAACCCTTCGGCAAAGAAAGTAATCTGAAGCTTCGAGCGAAAATATATTCAGTGGCATAATGCGATCATCAAATTTGGGACCTTCTGCATCATTTGCTTCTTCGCCAGCATCTTCTCCTCCTAGATCCGATAAACCAAAAACTGCGACAGCCTGAGCCAAATCTTTTGGCCATCCATCTAATATATAACCTTGGTTTTGGCAAGGAGGACTCAACAGCATCTCCTTGAAAAAGCTTATGATATAGGAATCTGCAAGTCGACCTCGGGGGTCAGCTGCCATGTTGTCTTCAATTTCCTAAAAAAAATTATAACTAGTTGGTATTTTGCTTTAAGGCAAGTTGCATGAAATTCCCGATATGTGTAAATAATCGACTTAATCAATAAAAAATAAATTAATTTATGAGTGATTAAAAGTATTCCGAGTGGATTTATTACACATATTTGAAAACGAACGAAAACCAAATTGTCAAAAATCAATAATTGTTACAATTGAACCAATTTTCGTAGGACTTCAGTTTAGTCTGGTTTAGTATGTTCATTAAGATCAAGTCAAGTACTCTATCGTTATACCAAGCACAATCGTCTAATTTTAATTGTGACAAACGTCAAAAAAACTACTCTTTTTCTCAAAATTTCATGAATTTTTAAAATTAAACTACTTGTCGTAAGGCCGTAATATTTCAGTAAAGAACCATGATATATATCGTAAAAAAAGTTCCATAAAAATAGGCTTAATTTTTTTTAATTACAAGCAAACGGCTCGGTAGACTTTCACCTATAACTAATCAGTATCTTTCGAACTAACCAACTAATATCTTTCTAAAGTTTTTGATTTTTTAAAATAGATTTGTTAGTATGAGCTTAAATGTGGACGAAAAGTTTAACACTTTTTTTTAAAATTACAAAAAAACGGCTTAGCAGATCGTCGCACAAAACTGACAAACGATAGTCTTCATTGAGGTACATAGAATGACTTTTAAAATTCTTAAATCAGTTCAGGCGTTTCTGAGCAAACGTCGATGAAAGTTCTAATGCCTAAACGCCAACAAAACGATACCAATTTTTGCTAACTTTGAAGAATTTTTAAAATTAAACGACTTGTCGTAGAACCGTAATATTTTAGTATGATCTATAAGACTATGGTATCTACCGTCAAAAAAAAACATAGAAATCGTCGAAAAAAATTTTCAACACTTTATTACAAGAAAACGGCCCGGCTGATCTCTACCAAAAACTCATCAGCACGATTCCCAGCCAATATCTTTAGAACGGTTTTTGAATTTTTTAAAAATCGATTCAGAATTGCGGGCTAAACGTGGACGAAAACTTTTTCACTTTCGTCTTTTTACAAAGAAACGGTTCGGCCGATCGTAGCGCAAAACTGACAAACGATAGTCCTCATCGAGATACATCGAATGGCTTTTCTGATAAAGCCGTTTTGGAGAAAACATCGATTTACGGCAAAAAATCTGTTCACACACATACACACAAATAAACACATACACACATACACACATACTTTTTCCAAATTTGGTCTCATTCGATTTTGAATGGCTTGAAACGCCGAGAAAACATAAAATTAGCGAATCGGATTTTTTGATGAAAACCAACTTCTCCTTCGGGAAGTTAAAAAAATGTTATCTTGATATAAGTTTCACCTGCAGCAAGCTCTTCAAAGCTTGTAAATCCATTTTGGGTTCTCCATCCCAATCTTCACCTTCGGTTTCTACATCATTTTCATCAATAGGCTTTCCTGAATCACCTGCCTCTTGTTCAAGTCGAACAATATCTCGTTTCAGTCTTTCAATTTTATTTTGAATCACACTTGCAATCTAGTAGCAAAAAAACTACATGTAATATATATCAACAATTTGTAAAAAAATGTAAATTCATTGTATATATTATAAATTAAAATTCTATTTCTTCCACTGACCGTAAGATGATGTGCACCATAATGATTAGCAAGCATTTTAGCCAATTCAGTTTTTCCTGAAGCTGGTGGACCATGTATAAGAACTCGAATTGGTGGATCAAGGTTATGAGCCTGGCGAAATTCGTATGCAAGTATTTTTCCCATGCCAACAATGCCGAGATCATTTTGAAAACGAATTCGACTAAAACGACCTGGTTCCATTGGAACATTTGCCATCAGTTGGTCGAATGACGATTGATCAATTTCCACTGGTTGAAAGAAAGCATGCTCTTGTGGTACAATCTTGGTTACTCCGTAACCTAGGGATTTACTTATAACCTGGGGAAGAATAAATTTTTTATAGACACAAGACCATAAAAAACCTTTTTTAACTTTCCGTAGGGTAGTTGTAGTAATGGGCCGAAAATCGGAAATGAAAATTTTTGCATTTCTCGACGTTTTGAAGGTTTCTTAACATTTTGGCATACCTCAGAAAAAATGGATGTGTGTGTGTGTGTGTTTCGTATGTCCGCATTTTTTCATCCACGTTTTCGGGCGCACGGATCAACCAATTTGAATGGTTTAAAAAACATTCGATCCCTATTGATAGGGAGATGCGCTGATTAGTTTTTTGGCAAAGGCAGGTCCAGCCGTTACGGAGATACAGAGCAAAAAGTGCAGAAAATAGAAATCGAGTTTTGAGAGAACAGAGCATCCGATTTGAATGATTTGAAAAACATTCAATTTGTAATGATTGGGAGAAGAAGTGATTAGTTTTTGGCAGAGACAGGTCCCGCCATTTCGAAGATACAGAGCTAAATGTGCAAAAAATGGCAGTTTTTGAGTGAACTAAGCGTCCGATTTGAATGATTTAAAAAACTCTGCTTGTATTGACAAAACTATTGCTTTTGAGGATAACAAAATATTACATCTTTATTTATTTTCCATAAAATATTTGTGTAATTTTGGATTAAAAATTCAAAAAATTACCCAGGCTAAGCACGGTCTGAGCGCCACTCTGGTACAAATGTTTACCCAAGTGCGTTTATTGAAGAATGTGAAAATGCCGCCAAGCTAAGCGCAGTATAAGTGAAAATGTCGCACAGTGTGACTGTGACTATACGGGAGCACTTTTTCAATTTTGTGTAGATTAGGCAACTATTTTTCAAAAATTGAATTCGAAATGAAGTGACGATTATTAATGTTCTGGAGATAAATTGATTTATGATTTACATTTGATTTGCTTAGATATAACAAGATAGCAAAAATAATGAACGTTACAGTATTTGCAATAATATATTTGAAATGGTTTAAAATTTCTCGAATATTTCAATACGGTACGGGAAGTACCAGCAATTTGCCTTAAGGCACGATGCCATACACCACTAGTTTATACTTGCCTTAATTGCGTCCTTCATCACAGCATTTGTTGGTTCGACGGCTAGAAAGTACTTTTGTTTTTTGACTGGAGGATCTGCTATTAGGTCGTAAATGCATGCAGCCAAATCTTGCACATGAATTGTTGGCACTACGTTATTTCCTGGATGAAATACTGGGATTTCTTCATGGTTGTTAAAAGACATTTTGAATGCGTATTCCAAGACCTGATTTTCAGCACCATAAACTAAACCGCAGGCTATGATCGCCGTTTGTAATTTACCATCCTTGTGATTCATGCCAACCTAAATAGAAAATTGAAACCATCTTGAAACAAAAATAAATATAATATAATATCTTCGATTCTCACCGTCATGGTTTCTTTCTCCAATTCAATGTGCAATTTAAAATTAGGATGTGGTTTCCTTTTCCTATAATCAGTTTCTCGCAACGGCAGTTTTGATCTTGAATCCAACTTTTTGGATTTGGCCCAAGTCATAAAAGATGACACCAAATAAAAGTAAATATGCTCGTTTTTAGGAATATTCGGATTGGTTTCCACTTCTTTATCCAACATAGCCAAAATTTCCGTCGCTTCTTCAATCTCGTTGTGGTCAGAAGAAATATCAAAAATGATATACTTACACCTAAATGGTAAAAGAATTATTTGAAACCACACATTTGCCTTTTGTACATTACACTTACTTTAATATATTTTCTTTATAATTATCTTGATCCTTATGCAGAATTTCGTGGACATAATCAGATTTCGTGTAATTATCTACACAACCTAGACTTGTACCAACAACTTGATAAAATATTTCCTTCTCATCCTGATCTTCCCTTCCTAAAACATCTTCTCCCATGAAAGGACTTTCTCCTACTCTCTTTGAAGCTATGTATTTAGATATTGCTTTGCCATGATATGAATCGACCTTTGGTAAAATTAAAACAAATTTTAATATTATACATACATTCTTATAAATAATAAATTGATACATTAGGGTGGTCCTTAATATGGATATTTTCGAATTTCTTTGCTCCCAAGGGTTCAAATGCTTCCAAATTAATAAAACAAAATTCTCTAAAAGTTTTAGCTCCTAATAATAACATTTAGATAGTCCGCAATTCAATTGATATTAAGGACCACCCTAATGTACATAGATATCGACATTTTTATTTAGAAATTTATCAAGGTTATTAAATTTGAATGTTCTAGCATAAGTCGAATCTAACGACTTGGATACAAATGGAATTTCGGTTTTGTGCTACTACTATTTTTTATTAACTCATCTTCAAGTGAAAAACCAATTAGATTTTAACATATAGATCTATCTAAAAATGTACCAAAATTCTAAACCACATCCAGTAAATGTGCTCCTTGAAATAGCTTTTGGATAACGCAAAGAAATACTCGTATATTTTTGTTAGGAGTGAACAATTTTGAATAAACAAACAAGAGCTTTCACAGCACAATGAGTTTTTAAATTTATTATGTAATTATTTACCTGATTTATGAATACTCTGTTAGGATAAAATGTCTCCTCGGTAATTGTTTGTTCATCATATTGAATGATGAAAGACTTTTCATCTGAATACGACTCGTCTTCCAAAGAAGAACCAGCAGAAAAACTTTTTCGCGCGTGTGCCATGATGATAAACTGAATCAAGCTTTTATATTTATACTTATTAATAAATCAATATGATAACCAATTGTTTTTTCAAACAATGTTGACATCATGTTGACATTTATAAATTTTGTTTTGCACTCATGCCTGAGAATATTCATTCTCAAATCCGCCCGTCGTATCACTTCTAATCTCTATATAGAAAGAAATATTTTTTAGCCGTTTTTGATAAAATATCGACAAAGGGTCAAAAATCGGCCAAATTTGAATGATCCAAAAAACATTCAATTTGCAATTATGGGAAGAATTAGTGATTAGTTTTTAGCAAAGGCAGGTCTAGCGATTTAGGAGGTGCTGAATGATATTTTGTGATTTTTTGTAATTTTTTGTCTTCCCTTAAAAACGCCACCTGATTAATAGACGCCCCCAAAGTTAGTTGCAATCCAATTAGAAAACTTGTCTATTCTAGCCCATGTATGGTTTCAATATAATTCAGTAGTAACATGTATGCTTATTTGAAAAATACACTAAAATAACTACAGTTTTTTAGAATTTCATAAAAAATGCAGTCAAAACTTTTATGTTTGTTTTTAATCCTATTTATTTATACTGAATGCAATGTGAGTGCAAATTATGTATTAATGTTAAATGTGTTTTTACTAATATTACAAAAATATTTTTAAAAAGATATAATAGTTTTATATAAATTGCGTAGTAAATTATATAAAACTACAACAAATAATAATTTACCAATAATAGTAATAAAAATGCTAAATATAAATATATGCACAGTATGTTAAGACATTTAAAAATAAATAAATGATTAAAAATTAATCATTCAAAACAGTCTTATGATACAAAAAATATTGTTATAAAAAATAATCTAGAGAACAAAATTGTTAATTCTAATTATTATGCACTCATTAGTTTAAGATTTTATTTTCATTTGTTATATTTTCTTATAACCTTAGAAAAAATGTTTAAATTTTGTGATTTTTTTTAATACAGTATCGAAACGTACTTAATAAATAGTGAATTATTCTTTGTTCTTATTCTTATCTTATCTCGACAGTTTGGCTAAAAATAAACATTTTAAACATATATATTAGGGTAGTCCTTAATATGGACATTTTCGAATTTCAAACTCAAATGCTTCCAAAATGATGAAAAAAAATTCTCTGAAAGTTTTAGCTCTTAATAATCACTTTAAGATAGTCCGCACTCCAAACAAAGTTTCTTATGGAAACAGCATGGGTAAAATTCCATTAATTTTTTAGAATTTTATAACTTAGCGACAAGTGACTCAAAATTTTGAGAATAACATTGTATTTGCTTATTTTGATCATAAATAAAAAAAATTACAACAAAATTTTGGTATACATCTTTTATAAAATAAGTATTTACTTAGAAATAAACAACCAAGAAACTTTGGTTGGAGTGCGGACTATCTTAAAGTTAATTTTAGAAGTTAAAACTTTCAGTATTTTTTTCATTAATTTTGAAGTATTTGAAACCCTGGAAGCAAGAAAATTCGAAAACATCCATATTAAGGACCACCCTCAATATATAATTTATATCAATTATTCTTGTTAATTTTAAGGGAGATGAATTTACCATTACTGATACAGTGTTTTTGGACATCACAAGTGACAAAATGGACTATGGTACTGTAGTCATTGGACTTTTTGGTGACAAAGTACCAAAAACAGTAAAAAATTTCAAAACTATTATTACTAAAGGAATTGATGGCAAAACCTATGTGGGGACTCAAATATTTAGAGTGGTTAAAAAATTTATTATTCAAGGTAAATAGAAAAATAGCAGAAATATAGCAGATAAAATTGATATCAACCTCTCAATAATGATTAATAATTGATCTTTAGATAATATTTTCCAACTAATTAATGTCTATTTTATAGTGGTCTATTTTATTTGATTGAAAACATATTTATATGTGTATTAATTTTTTTTAAACTTAGGTGGTGATTTGGTTTATAACAATGGAAGTGGATCAGTGAGTATATATGGAAAATATTTCAAAGATGAAAGTTTTAATATTTCTCATAAAGAACCAGGACTGGTGGGCATGGCAAATAAAGGTCCGTTATATATATATATATATATATATATATATATATATGTACAGAGTGTCCCAGAACTCAACGTCAAACCTATGGTCCAGATAGTGCAAAGTCCACCATCTAACTTTTATTAAAAATTTGTTTCTAGTATTTTTAGATCTTCTTCTTGTTTATTTTATTAACTGAAACAATCATATTTTCACATACAAAAAGAAATTTAAGAAAAAATTCACTACTTTTTTCAAAGCATTTTCAAAACGAAGTTATTTGACGGACCCGGGGCTAAAATATTAATTTTATGTGGTATGTTATATTTTTTTGTCAGACTTGCAACTAAGATTTAAAATTTGTTTTGAATGTCATATGAAATATTTTGCTTGGAGCCTATAAATCTGAACAAATCATTGAAGCCAGTTGATTTGGCAATATAAAATATTTGATTTTAAGAATATTGTGCCTAAATTGTATTGAGGCAAGTTCTAAAATTTGATCATTTTTTACAGACAGATATTTTACACTTTCTGGTAATCATCAATAAATTTTACAAATAACTTTAAATTTTAATATAACACACTTTCACTTTTTGTAAATATAGGGTGCTCCAGAATTTAACGTCAAGCCGAAACAAGGTGATACTATTGATCGTAACTATCATAAACAATTGGAAAAATATTCCATGTAGTTTAAAAATAATGAGCTTTTAAGTGCTACACTGAGCTTTGGTCAAACTCTGATCATTTTTTGGTTATTGTGGTTAATTTTCAACATTTTTGGAATCGGAACCTTAAATAACATTTTCAGGACCACAGTCTTTTTGTTAAACTAGAAATTTGAAATGTTCAAAATTGATCGATTTTTAAAAGCCTTCCTTTAAAAAATATTGCAGAACAAGTAATATTTAGTATAATCAATATAAATCTAAGACATATGAATTAATAAAACAAATGTCTCAAAATATTACTATATAAATTAATATTATTACTATCCTTTACCCCAGGAAAAAACACAAATGGATGTCAATTCTACATAACAACAGCCCCTGCACCATGGTTAGATGGAAATCATGTGATTTTTGGAAAAGTTTTGAAAGGGCAAAGGGTTATTCATGCCATTGAAAGGGCACCAACAAATAATTTGGACACACCAATTTTTAATATAACTATAAAAAATGTTGGAGTCTTGGACCTAAAGAAGCCCTATTCTTTCTCAAGTGAACATTATGAGTGAGTAAGGGATTTGGAAAGAATTTAAAAAAAAATATAATTGATTGTCTTCAAATTAATGAGACAATTCTGCTTGTTTATTGGTAGTGAAAACTGTAAAAACGTCTATCCATTTGCTGATAAAAAATGTGATCAGGCGTATTTTACGTAAGAATCTTATGATAACTGCATAATCAAAAATTCTGTTTTCATAACATTCTCCTTTTCTTGTTTATATGTAAAACACATCAAAACATCAAATGGATAGACATTTTTACAGTTTTCACTACCAATAAGCAAGCAGAATTGCCTCATTAATATGAACACAATCAAGACATTTTACAGTTTTTACTACAAAGCAATAAGCATAAGATAGCGTTGCCATGACAACGCTATGTTATGAGGAAGAATTGCTCCGCAACTTATTAAAGGAGTGTTACTGAGTTCATATTTTTGACAAATTTGATTTTTAAATATTTTGGTAGTTGAACGACGTTTCAGGTCATTCTGAATCGTTTGACATAGAAATTGGAGAGTCGTGTATGCATGTTTATGTCAAAAATTTTGACTTTACCTCGAGTTTTCTTTTGCCTTTGATAGATATAAAAATTTATTTTAAATGAAAAATTAAATTAATATTTTAGACTTTTTGTTGAGAAAAAAATCATTTATATATAATTTCAGTTTTCCTATAATTTTAAATTACTAATATTTATTTTCATTATTTTCTAGTTTATGGGATTGGCTGTCTGCATCTGCAGTTCCTTTAACATTATCTTTTTCGATTTTAGGAATATTTCAATGCATGATATCTAAACTACATTGTTAAAATCAATAAAATATTGTCATTAAATTTATATATATTATTTATGATTAATTGTATCTGATATATTGTTTAATAACTATCTTAACCAAATGATTTAAAATTGTTTTTTAATTATTAACAAAAACACAATTGAACAAACTTGATTCCAATAATTTTGATGTCATATTTATTTTTAACTATTACTTATTCAATAAAATTGAATAAATTATAATTAAAAACGTCTGATATATACTAGTAGTAGATTTATTAAAAATAAACAAAATATATCATTAAATTTATTAATATAAAATAAATTACAGTAAATCGCTTTGTGTTTTTATTCTTCGCCAGGTTCTTCGTTCCACAATAATAGCTTTTTGTCAAATTCTGTGGAAAATGTTAAAAAAACTAGAAATGTATTATTTAAAAAAATATTAATTAATGTTAATTTTTGTTTATTAATATTAGTTCCATTTTTTAAATTTTATTGTTATCTTTAATAAAATTTTATTATATAATTATTTTTAGCTCAGCCTTTTTAGAGTTGTGCAATTTTATCTAGATGATTTTCTAAGTTTTTATTTTTTATTATATTTCAACTGTAATTTGTTTAAAAGAAAATGTAATTTAAATAAAATCTTCTATAAAACGTACATCCACTAAATAAATTACATATGTGACAAATTTTAGAAAACATTTCCATATGAATTTCGATATTTTTAAAAAAGATATTAGAGAAGTTGCAGAAATGTAAATTTAATAGCAAATATTTGAGGTTTAAGAAAATAATTGCTGTGAATAGTCTATATAAATTTTATAAACTCCACAAATAATAAATTTCAACTTGAAACTAGAAATAGAATTTGGACTATTTATTTAGTCATAAATGATTTGATAATGGTAAAGTTTCTACTACCGTAGAAATGATTAAACTCATAAAAGTATTATAAAATGTAAGTAAATATATGCACTTACCTTCACTTAAATCGATATTTTCCCTGATTTGTTCCATAGCTTTCGAAAAAATCTCATCCATAATTGATTTTCCTATAAATTCTCCAGATGTTGCATATTCTTCAATATGAATTTCCTTCTCCAAGGAAGAAACCGTATACTTAATACTTGCTGGAATAAAAATATTAATATTAATTAAATAGTAATAATTCTAAATCATTTGAATTTCTACTCCCATTTATTCCTTTACTTTAGTTCTTAAAATATTAATTCATGGTTACTTGTTTCAATTATAAAGTATAAGACTTAGTAGGTTATTAAGAAGCAAGTCCATTATTTATTATTTAGAGTATTTTTCTCGAATTAAGATTCTAGAAAATTTACATGTTTTAGGAGATACTGTAATGCGATATTTTTGAAATCAACAATTTTTTTTCAAATAAAAAAATTCAAAGAATTTTTGTGGACTCCCTAAATAAATTCTCCAAAATATATAAATATATTACAATCAATATCATCTTCTTACTATACGTATACTCTTACTATAAGTAATTCTAATTCTTAACCTCTTGTTTTAGTTGTTTACTAACTAGGATAAATATAGATACTAGGTTATAGCAATTTTTATTTTTAACTAGCTGTATTCATTCACGCTTTACCGTGTTTTTGTTTTCAATTAAAAATTTGGTGGAAAATTTAGGGTTATATGTGTTTTATATAAAAAAAAATAAAAAATAAAAATTGACCGAAAAAATGTTAAAAAAAAACTTTGGGGCGACCAACCCCTACCACTTGGCTTTATTTAAAATATACGAAAATCTGTCTTGGGATTTGCCTAATTTCTCAAATTTTCACGGCGATCGGACGTATGGTTTACAAATGCATAACAATTACACACGCACACACTCAGACAGACATACATCCATTTTTAAATATGTATATACATTATTTTTGAGAATTTTATATTTTAGTTAATTTTTTAATAATTTACCTGGAGACGGTTCACGAAAAATTTCCATCTTCTTTGGAACCTCCGGTTCCACAACTATATCTACAGGAGGAGGCGTTGGAGCTTCTTGATAAGGAATCTGTTTTTCTTGCTCAAGATCTTTTGAAGACTTTTTGAAAAAAAAATATATTCAAGATAAATATTTAGCTTATTTATTATTGGTATAAATTTATTATCACCTTATATCGGTCTCTCGTCAAATCTTTATTGTAATAAAGAAACAATGCTGGTGGAGGATCTCCAAAATCCTCAGCAGGAATATTATTCTCCTCCAATGTTTTGGACATGTCCAAATGACCACGGATGCTCCTCCAAGTGTAACTTCCTGCATGGGTATTTGCATAGAAGTATCTTCCCATTATTTGGTATATGGAGTCTTCGTCACAGACCGTCAAAAATTGAGTTTGGGCTGAAAATAAAAATAATTGGTAAAAGACTAACAGACTAATATAAGAAGAAATACTAAATAATTTTTTGAATAAATAGTCTTTCCTTGAACTTTGACGAAAAAGTTCTATCTATTTTGTAAATAGAAATAAATTAGATTTATCTACTATATATAGGGATCAAGGTTTAAAATATGTTACAAAAAGCATATCTAACATATTTATTAGCTAGTGGTGCATGGCATCGTGCCTTAAGGCAAATTTCTGCAATTTCTTGTACCAAAAATTAAAATTTTTGAAAAACCTTTGAAATTTTCTGAAAACTTTGTAAAAGTAGAGATTTGTGAAATTTTGGAAAAAATTGTACTTTTTTGAAAAATTTCATTTAATTTATATTTTTTTATACTTTGAAATTTTCTGAAAATGTTAAACTTTTTTTAAAGCAATCGGGCTGCGTGGCTGTTTTAGAGACAAATTTCAAAGCGCGTAAGCGCCGCGTCGCAGTCTAATGGATATACAAGGTTTCGAAAGTCATACAAATGTCAACAAAATTCATACCTAATATTAAAATCTCTATAAAATATCTGATAATTTGATGTGCATATGTCTAATAATCATTTTTGACAGCCCATTCCATTTTTTAAAAAAAAATTTACTCGATTTCCGAAACCGCTGGAACTGCCTTACCAAAAATCAGTTTTTTACTTTGTCAATACAAGTAAAATGTTTTTTGAATTATTAAAATTGGACTCTCCGTTCTCTCAAAAACTGAATTACAATTTTTTGCACTTTTTGCCCTGTATTTTCGAAACGGACTCGCTAGACCTGCCTTTGTCAAAAACTAATCAGAACGCCTTCTTATCAATAGGAGTCGAATGTTTTTTGAATCATTCAAATGAATTGAACCGTGTTCCTAAAATCGTCGACGACACATACACACACTGTACAACTATTTTTTATAAAGTATTCCAAAATTTTCAAAAACCTCTCAAAACGTATTTAACTTCCCCTAAAAATCAAAAATGAAAATTTTATATATTTTTACGTTTCAGAGGTTTCTGAACATTTTGGCATACCTTAGAAAAAATTGATGTACATGTGTGTGTGTGTGTTCGGATACAAATTTTTGTCGACGATTTTAGGAATACGATGATTAACTTATTAAATTTCTTTATAGTTATAAGTTTTCTAATTTAATTTAACCTTTCTTGAAATCTAATTAGAATGCAACCAGAATCCAATTGAAATCTGATTGGAATCAAGTTTGCACTTAAATTTTAATCTCCTAAATCCATTTCATAAATTGATTTTTATTTACAATTTATCGTTAAATATATCTATTTATTATAAATAAATAAATTTATTATAAGATAAATTAATTAATTTATTTTTAAAATATTATACCTGTAAGCATATTTATGATTCGGATATGTCTTGGTTTAAGAGAAACATATCCAATGTGATAAAAATCGTCTTTCCACCAAGGAGGATTTGGAACTGGTCTCCATTCTGTTGTAGGACACTTAAATTATAAAAAATATGTATAAGTTAAATAGCTGAATTTTTAATTGATTCATAATAATAATAGCTAGTTTTTACTCAAAAAATAGAATAATAAAAAATATATAGCAGACAGAGGCTTTTCACCTAAACAAAGCTCAACCTAAAAAAGTTTAGTATGAGCGGTTTTCCACTGAATTTTTCTTCATAATGTAATTCAATTTTTTTTTTATTTGTGCACCTTTTATTGTGATTTGATATTTTACCTTTACAGTTTCAAGGACAAATATGTAATATTTTTACCTTCATTGGTATATGTGGCATTACTCCATGAGGAAGAACAGGTTGTCTGGCTCCTGTTACAGGATCAATTCGATCTCGTAGATCACCAGAAGGATTAAACCAGTGGCTAATGTCCTTTCCAGCATATGCTATCAGCAGTTCACATTCCTATTTAAAAAAAAGTTTTTTTTTATTTCCATCTAACAAATTTGAGGTACAAAAGTTAACTCCTTAATGTATACCTTTGGATTTTCTAACAGTTTTTGTTGAATCATTGGAGTGATATTAAGTACACGCCTATTTATAGAAATCCAAATGTCATCAGGTTTATTATGCACCACGACTTCGGTTTGTAAATAATAAGGAAGCTTTTTATAATTAAGATACGCCATAATTATATTTTTAATATAAAATAATACAATCGAAAATATATCACAAATTTAATATCAAAATTTTGACATCGGTCACATTCTCGATGAGATTTTTGTTTTAATGCTATTTATTGAGATTTTAAAACAAAGATCATATGGTGACTATAATTTCAAAATAATATAAAGGAATATTAAAATGGAGTTGAAGATAAAAGAGATTGCAGAGATTTAAATATAAGACTTATAAACTTTGAAAGAAATACATAATATGACATGTATATATAAAAATTGTTTCTTAATTTCTTAGACCAGGCACTCCTGCATGACTGAGATATGAAAATATTATGCCCATAAAGGAAAAAAAAATCAAAGTTTTATTTAACATGAAAATAAATTTATTCTATATCTAACTTTCCATTAGTACTACGAAGCCACGTGACTAGAAAAAATAGCAAAAAACAACAAAAAACACTAAATATTTTTCAATCTATATTTTCAAAAATCCACATTTCTTCTTCAATC